TTCCAGAAGAGGTTTAAGTAATTCAGCATTGGCACCCTTCAGACCTCCCCCTTCAGGCCCTGAAGGGTTTAGAGAAACCCTTCAGGAAGGGTTCAGGGAAACTCTTCAAACCTCACTCCTTTTCAAACTCTTCAGGCTCTGGAGGGTTCAGGGTAACCAAGACCTCGGGGACAAGCACCAACATTTTGCGGACAAGCAACGACAATCGGTGGACAAGCACCAACCATTCGCGGACAAGCACCCAGAATTCGCGGACAAGCAACAACAATTTGCCGGACAAGCACCAACAATTCGCGGACAAGTGTCTGGGGGCTTCTCAATATGGCTTGTCCGGGCCCTCCGGGACTCAGCTATCTCGGGATTTTTTGGGAGAAATGTCCCGAACCGTCCCGGGTGTGCCGCGGGCCCCCTGAAACATACGGCCGGCACCCCTCGTGCGGACTTTTGGGTTCAGGGCGTACAGGGTCCGGGCTCTAGGGTTCAGGGCCTACTGAGCCTTGGGTTTTAAGGTGAAAACGAGAGGTAAAACATTGTTAAAGTGTTACGGGATCTGAGCCTTAATCCCCAAACCCTAAACCCTAAACCCCAAACCCTAAACCCTAAACCCTAAACCCTAAACCCTGAACCCTAAACCCTAAACCCTGAACCCCCAAGAAGTAAACCCTGAACCCTAAACCCGAAAAGAAGAAAACCCTAAAACACAGACCCTAAAACCCTAAAACCAACCCAGCATCTCTGAAACAGCACATGGGAAAAACAAAGGCACCGCACTGTAGAGAGCTGAAAGGGTACCTATCAGCCTTCAAGCCTACATCCGAAACCCTACAAGTAGGGCCCCCCGAGTTATAAGGAGGGTTTTCAAGGGGTTCTAAAGGAGTCTTCTTGCTTCGGCTCCTATTCCCTGAACTGTGCTTCGCGGTTTGGGGCTGAGGAGCAAGGATTTGGTGCCTCGAGTGCGGTCCCGCAAGCTCCCGTTCCAAGATCTATCGGGTTCCTAAGGGAGCAAGGGGGTAGTCCTCCCCACTACTCCGTAAGGCTCCCCAAGCTTCCCTAAGGCTACCCTTGAACCTCCCTCCCTTAAGAACCCTGTTCCATTCAACCCTGGAACCCTCCCGCCTCGACCTTGAACCCCAAGCCCTGCACCCGGAAGGCAAGCTTCCTCCCCTAAGTTCCCGAAACCCCTGAAACCCTAGGGCCCAACTAAAAAGGGCCCTAAACCCTGAACCCTAAAGCTTCTGGGGCCCTGCCCCCCCGAAGGCCGGCTCCTCGGGGTCTCTCAGAACTGGGCTGGGCTGCGCCGCGCAGCCCCTCCAGTCGACGAGAGTGCTTGAGGGTCGGGGTTAAGGGTAAGGGTTGAGGGCTTAGGGTTTAGGATTTAGGGCATAGGGTCTAGGGCTGAGGGATTTTGGGGATTTAGGGTGTTTATGGTGCTTAGGGGGCTTATGGTGCTTAGGGGGGCTCTTTGGGGCTTGTGGGGCCTTAGGGTGGCCTTAGGGGCTTTCGGGATCTTTGGGGGAGGCCTCAGTGAAGGCGACAGCAGGTCTTGCTCACGCCCTTGTGAATGTCTTGCAACAACGCCTCATCAGCAGCAACTCCATCTTGAAGCGGCCGGGTTTGCCGAACGAAGATGCCGTCTGTCCTCCCGCCATCGATCTGCAGAGATACAAACCAGTCCTGGAGCGGCCAGGTGTTCCCCGAGAACCGCACCAGCACCGTCCCATGCTGGTACTCCATAAGCAATGGCTCCCGACAGCGCGGCGCCGGTAAACTCTCCACCGGAATCTTGGGGCCGGGTACCTGCACAATCTCCGTCCGCAGACTGCTCTTACCCCCCCCCCCAGACCCTAAACCCTGAACCATAGAGCCGAAACCTAAACCCTAAACCTAAACCCTACACCTGAAACCATTAGATCAATGGCACACTCGACTCTGCCAGCAGCTGCTTCTGGGTCAGGCACGTCATGCAAATGGCGCTGTCGCCAGGGCTTTAGGGTTTGGGGTTTAGGGCTTAGAGATAAAAACGTTTAGGACTTAGGGTTGAATTAGGGTTTTGGGTTTAGAGATTAAAGTTTACGGCTTGGGGTTTAGGGTTTGGGTTGAGGGTGGGTCAGCTGCTGAGGCCCTTGCCTCCTTGCAAAACCTTCAAGCCCGCAACATTCTGGACCCCAAACTCGATGATAAACCCCGACCTCCCGAACGCCCTACACCCCTCCATTGCCTAAACCTGCAAAACCCTGCCTGAAAACCCCTAACCCTACGAAGTTCCATTTATCAACCCCTGAAGGGGTTTAATCACGAGGTACTAACCCCAATTAAACCCCAACTTTTTTTCAGCACGACTACTCCCTAAACCCTAAACCCTAAACCCTAAACCCTAAACCCCTGAATCCCCTGAACCCTAAGCCCCTGAACCAGCCCATGGCTTTCCCGGCCTAAGTTTCAGAGCGCTGGGTCGCAGAAGGCGATGCCATCGCATGACCACGTGTGGGGTTTAGGGCTTCGGGGCTCCGAGAGTTCAAGGAGTTTGGCTTAGCTTTGGAGTAGACCCTGAAAAAAAAGTATATACTTTTTGGGTATAAGTAGCTATAATAGGAAACCAGAACCAAAAAAAAGTATTAAAGTATAGTACTCCAAGACCCAGTTGGGTCGTCTTCTCACTCTGAAACAGTATCGTGGCTATTTTTCTTGCTGCAGCTCCAGGGACTCCTTGGAGGTTATTTGACAATTAGAACTGTACTTATACCCATATTCCACGCGGGGTACACTCTCTGGGCAGGTCTCAGCACGCTACGGCCTGGGCCTCAGAACTGTGAACGCGCCTTTGGGCCGAGAAAAGCATCCGACAGGCGTGGGAACTGCTTCAACCTCCGAAAAGTTCGTGGAACAGAGGAGCACCCCCTCAAATCAGCCTCTACAGTACATCCCGAACCAGGGGCCCGAAACGCCCCTAAGCCCTAAACCCTAAACCCCAAACCCTAAACCACAAACCCCAAACCCGAGTTAAACCCGAAACCTCTAGGCACTTTAACATCAGACTCCAGACCATTCTGTGAGCAGACATTTGGGCATCAGTCTAGGGTTCAGGGTTTAGGGTTTAGGGTTTAGGGTTTAGGGTTTAGGGTTTAAGGTTTAAGATTTAAGGTTTAAGGTTTAAGGTTTAAGGTTTAAGGTCTAAGGTCTAAGGTTTAAGGTTTAAGGTTTAAGGTTTAGGGTTCAGGATTTTTTGGGCTTGGGGTTTGGGGACCCAAAAATACAAGGGGAGCCTGCCAACCTAGTGACCCTTGAGGTTGTACCCTTGGGTCTTGGGATCCCCTTTAAAGATCCTTAAGGTAGTATAAGGGCCATACCGGCAGTATATTAGGCGGAACCATTAGGGGTACCCCCCCTCGTCTCGGTGCTTTTGGCATAACCCTAAGTCTGTTGGAGGTTTTGGGTTTGCCTTTCCCCGCCGCCCGCCCCCACCTACCCTTTGATAAAGTAGGACTTGTATACTGGTTAGACGGTAGTTGGGGGGGGTGCTGGTGGGCTTGGGGCTTACATCCCAAGGGGTTGGGGGGGGGAGGTCAACAGAAACATCGGAGACCGGAACAGCTGAGTCGAAACCCTAACCCCTAAACCCTAAACCCTAAACCCTAAACCCTAAACTCTAAACCCTAAACCCTAAACCCTAAACCGATCGGAATCCAGGCCTGCATCCGGAAACCAGCAAGGCTGAGTCGGACTCCGGCAACCAGAAGCGGCCAGGGGGTGTTCTGGCTGATCGGGCGCAATTACGCCACCCGGCCTCCCTCCCCCCGTGCCTCCCACGCCAGTTGATGCACAGCTTCTGATTTGCTGCTTCCGATTCGCTGCTTCTGATTTGTGATTCGTAGTTTCTGATTCGAAGGCTGGTTTCTGCTTCTGTTCCCTGGTGGTTTTGTTCACTCATCGGAGTGGGGGGTGCGGAGGTCGCGCGGCGGGTCGAGCAAGATTCAGAGTTGAGGGCTTTGTGCTGTGCTTCCCTGCAAAGTCATCCGCGGCAGTCATGGCACTGCTAATATTGAGCGACCCGCCCCCACCATCCGAATTCCAAATTCTTCCGGAATGGAATAATACACTTTCTATCTAAAGTTCTAAAAAATTCCAAAACGATATGTTCATATATATATATACATGTATATGTACATAGGGACAAATATTTGCCATATACTAGGGGAGGGACTGTTTTGGGGTGCGCGTTTTCTCAGCAGAGGGGGAGCGGTTCCTAATGCAGGGCTCGCGCGCGCGCGCGCTCTTTCTCTGCGAAGCTTCCGTTTGCCCCCTCCCCTGACACCTAACCCTTACATCCTATCAATGGTGCAAGTTTAGGGTTTAGGGTTTAGGTTTTAGGGTTTAGGGTTTAGGGTTTAGGGTTTAGGGTTTAGGGTTTAGGGTTTAGGGTTTACGGTTTACGGTTTCGGGTTTAAGGGTCAGGGAATTCTCGCGCTATCCTCCAAACTTCAAGCATCCACGCACGGCTTTTTGTCGCTGCTATGGACCCGGAGACTCCAACACCCTTTGTGTAGGGTTCAGGGCTTAGGGCTTAGGGTTTAGGGTTTAGGGTTTAGGGTTCAGGGTTCAGGGTTCAGGGTTCAGGGTTCAGGGTTCAGGGTTCAGGGTTCAGGGTTCAGGGTTCAGGGTTTAGAGTCCGGGGCTTCGGGCTTGGGGTTCCGGGTTTCGGGTTAAGTAATATGTCTTAAGCCACCTCAGGACCCCGACGATCAACTAAGGAACGGTCCCTTAGAGCATCTGCCAAAGACCCTAAACCCTAACTCCTGAATAACGCAAGGATTCTTCCTTGAACAAGTGGGGGTTTCCGACATTAGGGGCACCTTCTTATAATGGAACCCTACTATTTGGGGGTCTATATTAGGGGTCCCTTAAACCCGCAACCCTAAACCCTCAACCCTAAACCCTAAACCCTTATTATCGGGGTCCCTTAAGGGAATCTTTAACAAGTCTCCTATTTTCGTAAACCCCCACTAAGTGGTATTGGAGCCTCTCGGGGCGATGACGAAAAGCTCGCTGGCCCAGGCAGAGATGCTCAGGGCCTTGCTGGGCGGCATCTCGGTGACCTGGTTTGGGGTTTAGGGTTTAGGGTTTAGGGTTTAGGGTTTAGGGTTTAGGGCAACTGATTAGGGTTTAGGGTTTGGGGTTTGGGGGTTAGGGTTTAGGGTTTGGGGTTTGGGGTTTAGGGTTAGACCTGCAAGTCCCGGCTTAATTTGGACGTCGCCCTGACAAGGTCCTCAGCGCAGCCCTTAAGTTCAGGTCACGCGGGCGCCGGTGCCCGCTTGGATCTCTGCATGCTTAGGGTGTTGGGCTTGGGGTTTTAGGGTTTGAGGTCTTGGGTGTAGAGTTTAGGGTTTAGGGTTTAGGGTTTGAGGCCTTGGGTGTAGAGTTTAGGGTTTAGGGTTTGAGGTCTTGGGTGTAGTGTTTAGGGTTTAGGGCTTTTGGGGTGGAAGTCTGGGGATTCGGGGTTGGGGTTTAGAAGTTTAGAGCTTGGGGCAACAACTCCCAGATCCTCCCTTTAGTGTTTAGGGTTTAGGGTTTAGGGTTTAGGGTTTAGGGTTTAGGGTTTAGGGTTTAGGGTTCAGGGTTTAGGGTTCAGGGCTTAGGGTTTAGGGCTTAGGGCTTAAAGCACAAAACGAACCCCAACAACCTGCAACACCTTGAACTCTGAAGATCCCTAGGCCCTAAACATGCCCAGGCCCCCCTGATAATCCAAAAAACCCGGAAGCTTAACCCTTAACCCTTAACACAAAACCCAAACTCAAAACCCTAAACCCTAAACCCTAAGCCCGAGCCCAACACCCTAAACCCTAAACCCTAGCCCTAAACCCTAAACCCCAAAAGTCGATGATAGGTGTCACGAGTACTCTTTTCTAACTTTGAACGTTTGAGAGAAAAGTCTCCCCCCCCCCCCCCAAAACCTTAAACCCTAAACCCTAAACCCTAGCCCTAAACCCTAAACCCCCACCAAAAAGCAGGCGGAGCCCTGCCTTCTCTGCGCCCGTGTTCAGGTCTCGGCGAACGAGCTCCTCGGAGCCCTCTTTTGGGGGTTGAAGGTTCAGGGTTTAGGGTTTAGGGTTTAGGGTTTAGGGTTTAGGGTTTAGGGTTTAGGGTTTAGGGTTTAGGGTTTAGGGTTTAGGGTTTAGGGTTTAGGGTTTAGGGTTTAGGGCTTGAGGGTTGAGGGCTTAGGGCTTAGGGCTTAGGGCTTGAGGGTTTAAGGCTCAGGGCTTGAGTGTTTTATAGGGTTGAGGGTTGAGGGCTTAAGGTGCTTCAAGTGTTGGGCTTTGGGGCTTTAGAGTTTTGGGCACTGCAGCCTCGACTGGGAGGGCCGGAGGACTTAGCAAGTAGTTAGTTATCCAATAGAGTTAGAATTCGGAGAGCTCCTATTAGGGTCCCTTTTAGGGTACTTACAAGTCTACTTGCTATCTAGCTACTAAGTCCCCCGACCCGCCAAGTAGGGTTTTAGGGCGTTGCGACTAGGGGTTCGGGGGCTTAGAACCTATGGTTGCGGAGCGCAGTGTGGGGCTTGGGGTTTAGGGTTTAGGGTTTAGGGTTTAGGGTTTAGGGCTTAGGGCTTAGGGCTTAGGGTTTCAGGGTGTCAGGTTCTTTGTTTTCCGCATAGGCGCCGGGGTGGGGTGGGGACCCTACAAGCCCTCGAAACCCCACCTCAAAACCCTACAAACCCTCAAAGACTCTACACTAACCGGTTACAAAAAATCCTAACACCCTACAACCCCCCAGAAAACCCTGCAAAACCCCTGTGGAACCCTAAACCCTGAACCCCCAAACCCCAAACCCCTAAACCTAAACCCTAAACCCTAAACCCTAAACCCTAAACCCTAAACCCCATAGTCGATCATGCTCTTGCAGCCCTTCTCTTCCGTGAGGAGTCCTCGCCCCTCGCGTAGTACAGGGAGCCGAAGCCCATGGTGGGCCGCGGGAGCGCAGCAACTCCGAGGCCTGTCCCGTATGTGAGGGTCTTAGGGTCTCTAAGGGTTTAGGGTCTCGGGTTTAGGGTTTAGGGTTTAGGGTTTAGGGTTTAGGGTTTAGGGTTTTGGGTTTAGGGTTTAGGGTTTAGGGTTTAGGGTTTAGGGTTTAGGGTTTAGGGTTGGGGGATTTTGGGGGTTTAGGGTTGAGGGATTTTGTGGGTTTAGGGTTTAGGATTTAGGGCTCAGGGTTTTCGGATTTAGGGTCATCATGGTCCCTTTTGGGCTCCTTGTCAGAAGGCGGCTCCACTTGTTTAAAGTACCCCAAGAAGGGGACCACAATTGAGAGAACTGACCATATGGGCTCGAGGATGCTCACTTTGGGGGAGGTGGGGGAGGGTGGGTGGGTGGGTTTAGGGTTTAGGGTTTAGGGCTTAGGGCTTAGGGCTTAGGGCTTAGGGCTTAGGGCTTAGGGCTTAGGGCTTAGGGCTTAGGGCTTGGGGCTTGGGGCTTAGGGCTTGGGGCTTAGGGCTCAGGGCTTAGGGCTTAGGGCTTAGGGCTTAGGGCTTAGGGCTTAGGGCCTAGGGCCTAGGGCCTAGGGCTTAGGGGTTTCAGGGCCTTTTAGGGTTAAGGGCTGTTGGGGGTGTTTGACGGGTGATGTTCTTCAATTTTTTTGGGTTGTCTAATGTTTGCTCAAAGCCCTGACAGAAGCTCAACAGCAGCGCGAAACGAGAACCTTAAACCCCAAACCCTAAACCCCAGCAGTTGAACCAAGGCCGCAAGAAAGTGCCCTGAAGCCTGACCAGCAAAGCCTAGACCCTAAACCCTAAACCCTAAACCCTAAACCCTGAACCTTTGAAGATCGATTTAGGGTTCAGGGCTTAGGGGTTTAGGAATGCTCTCAAGCCTTGAAGGCCTGTACAATCCGAAACCCGCCATAGGTTTAGGGTTTAGGGTTCAGGGTTCAGGGTTTAGGGTTTAGGGTTTAGGGTTTTGGGTTTAGGGTTTAGGGTTTAGGGTTTAGGGTTTAGGGTTTAGGGTTTAGGGTTTAGGGTTTAGGGTTTAAAAAGTTTAGGGTTTAAAAAGTTTAGGGTTTAAAAAGTTTAGGGTTTAAAAAGTTTAGGGTTTAGGGTTTAGGGTTTAGGGTTTAGGGTTTAGGGTTTAGGAATTAGGGTTTAGGGTTTAGGGTTTAGGGTTTAGGGTTAGGGATTCGGGCGCCTGCGGCATCCAGGTCGTGCAGGCGCTGCCCGGTCTTGTTGCTGCCGGGGTCCACGGGTTGGAGCAAGAACGTGACGTCCTTGGAGCACATCTTCGAAGCAACCCTAGACCCTAACGGCTTAGGCTTTAGGGTGTAGGGTGTAGGGTTTAGGGTTTAGGGTTTGGGGTTTGGGGTTTAGGGTTTAGGGCTTAGGGAACCCTAAGCCCCAAACCCTAAACCCTAAACCCCAAACCCTAAACCCTACACCCCAAACCCTGAACGGTACTGTCTACTTTGGGTGTGTCTAACCATGAACTGGAGGTACTCCCCAAACAGCAAACCCGAACCTGAACCTTAAACGCTAAACCCTGAACCCTAAACCCTACACCCCGAACAGAAAATCCTAAACTCTGGTCCCCCAAAAGCCGCTTGGGTCTTCGGAGCACGGGCTAAGGGGTGGAGGATCCTCGCATCCCCGAACCCGTTTAGGGCTTCACGCTTAGGATTGCAGGGTTTAAGCTTAGGGGTTGCAGGGTTATTGGGCTGAAGGCAGGCCGATACAAATTCGTGACAAAATCAAGAAGCAGCTCCTGAAAGGCCCCTTCGGCCTGCTTGCCAACGTTCGTATATATCACGATCATCTTTGGCATCAGCTCTTGAGGTGGGCGTCGTGAGGCTGCACAGGAAACTGTACTCTAAACCCTAAACCCGAAACCCTAAACCCTAACCCTAAGCCCTAAACCCTAAACCCTAAACCCTAAACCCTTTTGTGCGTTGCCGAGTCGACCTTGGTCTTCGCGAGCTCCTTCGCTGTGTCGAACAGAGGTGCAAGAGTTCCTCTTGGGTTTAGGGTTTAGGGTTTAGGGTTTAGGGATTAGGGTTTAGGGTTTAGGGTTTAGGGTTTAGGGTTTAGGGTTTAGGGATTAGGGTTTAGGGTTTAGGGTTTAAGGTTTAGGGTTTAGGGTTTAGGGTTTAGGGTTTAGGGTTTAGGGTTTAGGGTTTAGGGGAAATGTGAGAGTTTACGAAAAAAAGGGGGCCCCCAGAATGGACCCCCAAATAGTGGGACCCCCTCAACATAAGGACCCCAATAAGGTACCCCTCATTTCGGAAACCCCCATGTAGCGTTTGGGGTTGGGGGCTTCGGGTGCTTGTCCCGAAGGGAGGGGGGTTCATGGGGGGGTAGGTAGTGTAAGGGGGAACAGCCCAACCCTAAACCCTAAAAACCCCACATAGCACCCAAAAAAAAGCCCTAAAACCCTAAACCCCAACCCTTAAAAAATGACAAAACAAAAAAAACCTAACACCCTAAACCCCAAACCCTGAGCCCTAAACCCGAAACCACCCGAAGCCCCCTCCAAACGCCAGCAAGGCGTCGCTTTCGTCTGCAAGCGACGTCCAGGCGACCTTTCCGGGCGCAGGTGTTTTGGGGCGTTTGGGATTTAGTTTCAGGTTTGGGGTTCCGGGTTCAGGGTTCAGAGTTTAGGGTTTAGGGTTTAGGGTTTAGAGTATAGGGTTTAGGGTTTAGGGTTTGGGGTTTAGGGTTTAGGGTTTAGGGTTTAGGGTTTAGGGTTTCTGTTAGGGCCTTCGAGTTGCTTGGGCTTTATGGGCTCGGGGGCTTTGGGGGTTTTAAGGGTTCTACGGGGCTGGTCAGATTACAAACCCTCAACCCCAAACCCGAAACCCGAAACCCCAAACCCGAAACCCCAAACCCTAAGCCCCAAACCCTAAGTTCAGGGCTTGGGATGTCAGAATCAAGGGTCTGGGGCCTGTAAGGCTTGCTTGTACTTATGAGTGGGGTTGTATGCACCCTACTTAAGGTTATAGCCAGTTGTGACTCTAGCTACTGCTGATGTACAAGTACCCATGAACCTCCAAGTAGGGTTTAGGGCCTAGGGCTGAGGGTTCGGGGCTTCGGGTTTCGGATCGCAATGGTTGTTCCTCATCGCCTCCGGGGGGTTCGGATCATCTTGTTGTCATCCTGTTCGGGGGCACCGCGCCATACAGTGCCATACAGGGGCACGAGACTATGATTACAGCGAGCCTCGCTGTCTTTTCATATGCTCGGTCTTCGCATGACATCTGACAACTTGGGGCCGTTGGGTGTGGAGCTTTGGGGATTGTTAGGGTTCAAATTCCCCGAACCCTAAACCCTAACCCCTAAACCTTAAACCCTAAACCCTAAACCCTAAAACCGGTAAAGGGCCGCCAGGCTACCAGCGCGACGCCGCCATTCAGACCCAGCATTTCGGGCCTCCTGGCGGCATGCAAACTGGATGCCGCCACTTCGTATGTACTGCTAAGGCAGGACCCCAATGAGGTACCCCTGATTTCGGAAACACCCATATCTGATTCTTCTCTCTTGGGGGAGACCCCTCAACCCTAGACTAATATAGGAGTAATTATTCCGACCCCTACTGCACTTTTGTTGGAAAATTGGGGTGTCAGGTCTAGGGTCGAAACCTTGGGGTTTAAAGCGGGTTCGCGGGTTGCGGTCATGTTTAGATTCTAGGGTTTGGGGTTTTAGGGCAGCGTTCATCCCCATTGTAAGAACCAGTAGGTTAACTCAAGCTACCACAATGGGTATGTACGGTAAACAACATGGTTTTCTTATGCTGGTAGCTTAACTGAGTTCCTTCACCAGTAGCCCAGACGCGCCCATTCGCCCCATCTCTCGATCTCTCGTCCCTACGTCCCTGAACCCTAACAAATCTAACCCTAAAACACCCGACCCAAAACCACAATGACAGAACCCTGCTCCTCATGAACCACTAGCCCCCGCTATGCGATTGCCCGGTGACCGTAAAAAAAGGAGGTAGGATTAGGGTGACCCTTGGGGATATAGGCCCCCTCAATAAGGTCCTCCTTGACAGCACCAGAAGAGGGTTTTGAGAAGTGGTTCCCTTTGAAGTCTCCCTAATCCCACCTAGTAATCATAACTTAATCCCTGTTCCCCTAGGAAGAAAAAAGGATCCTTTTTGTTTATATATAAGAAAGCCCATAACCCCAAAAAAAAAAGAACCTAACACTGATTTAGATAAGGGAGTCCCTCACATGAGATGGGGTTGGGCAGACGCTGCGCCTGCTCTCCTGCCCCCCTTCCGCGAGGCCGATGTCCTGGTCAGGGTTTACAGGGCTTGAAGGCTCTGGGATTTAGGGTTTAGGGCTTCGGAGTTAGGGTTCTTAGGCTTCTTCGGGTTTGGGGTTTAGGGTTTAGGGCGTCAAGGAGTCTGTAGTCTGCTCAAGGCGCTTTGGATGATGCTGTGTGTGGTCCGCATCCACCAAGAACTCTACGACGTGTGTTCTGCGGTTTCTGAAGCTCCTCGTCGCAGGACGCCCACGCTTCACTTGCCAGCTTTTCCCCAGAAGACAGAAGCCTAATGTGCCAGAAGTGTGCCCATCAACAAAACCCAAGAAAGTGAACGAGGGCCCGGACGGCCACTAACGGGCAATTTGTCCTTGATGTTTACGATCGGCCGGAAGGGACGACGAAAGCAAAGGATGGTGGATGCGCGTGCTCAGCAACATGTCCAGCTGCGCCGTCTCCCGCTGCTTTTGAGAATATGAAGAAACCGCTTGGCGCAAATTCCGTAGACTCTAACACGGTAGACCAGAAACCCTAAACTGTAAACCCATGAACGGACGCCTACTAGTGGCTCCGGACCCCAAACCCCAAACTTGAGTAGGACCCCTTAGCATCAGCAGAAGGACGGCCACCTGATCACAGTAACAGTCAGGCAGTCGCTGCCACATGGATCTGGGGTTGAGGACTTTGGTTAAAGTCCGCTAAACCCTGAACCCTAAACCCTAAACCCTGAGCGCCCCTGAACTCTGAACCCCGAACAGTAAAACCGCTCCCGCAACTACCAAACCCTAAACCCTAAACCCTAAACCCTAAACCCTAAACCCTAAGCCCTAAACCCTGCGCGCTAGCAGACTTGTGCCTCGACCAGTGCAAGCGACTCTTCCGCGGCTCTGACCTTGTAGTTTGGGGACTTGGGTTTAGGGTTTAGGGTTTAGGGTTTAGGGTTTAGGGTTTAGGGTTTAGGGTTTAGGGTTAGATGCCAGAGTTCTGTAGGGATTGTGTGGTGACCCTTTGGCACTGGCACTAAGCCCAGAAAACCCAAGCTACTAACCCCAAACCCCCGTGTTAGAACTAAAGTCTTGCACTTTCCGCCTGGACTTGTATTACCAGAAGTCCCCTTTGCCCGGCGTGCGAGGAAAAGTTAGACTTTAGGCTTCAGGGTTAGGAATTTTATTGGGGCGCTGTGAAAGTTGCACCCATTCCGGTCCACCCAAGCAGCCTGATACGGCCTTGCTGGGGGGCTACGTGTCCTTTCTGATTGTTCGTCTCGCGCAACCCGCAGAAGTGGGCGTTGGATCGGGAGCCGTTTGCTTGGTGAGTTCCCCTAAACCCTAAACCCTACACCCTAAACCCTAAACCCTAAACCCTAAACCCTAAACCCTTAAGAGAGGGGGTTCTCTTGGGGGTATGTAACCCAAGGGTCCGCAATGCTCCCCGCGACTCCCTGAGGCTCCCTAAGCTTCCCTAAGGTTCCCTTGTACCTACCCCGAATGAACCCCACTCCCTTAAGGACCCTCTAATGTGTTTGTTGCTTTCCTGCAATTCCATTCTGGTCTTAAAGCCACAACCCCCTAATACCCCCCTCTACACTACCCCCCCCCTAAATTCCCCCCTAAATTCCCCCTTAAATAACCTCAATTAGGGTTAATTATCCCTAAATGGCGTTAATTATGGGGGGAACCCAGGGGGGGTGTTACAGAGGGGCGTAGTAGGGGAACCCATGACTACCCTACTGCTAGAAGCTAAGCACCCCCCCCCCCACCCCGAGCAGGGTTAGTAGGGCTCTCTAGGGTCATATAAAACCCTACACCCGCCAACCCTGCCGCAGCCTGGCAATCAAAGGATCCCTCAGTGACTCCTCCACTACACCAAGGCCCCCCACTCATTAAAGGGCAAGGTTTAGGGTTTAAGGGTTTCGGGTTCGGGTTTGGGGTTTGGGGTTTAGGGCTTAGGGGTTTGGATCTTCAGGGCTCAGGATTTAGGGTGTCAGGATAGCAGGGGGGAGATCCCAAGAGGCAAGACACGATGTAAAGCTTGCGAGCGCCAGCAATGACCAGCTGCCCGTGGTGAACGGCCAGCGCCGGCTCCTGCAAACAATTAGGGTTTAGGGTTTAGGGTTTGGGGTTTAGGGTTTAGGGTTTAGGGTTTAGGGTTCAGGGTTTAGCCCGACGTCCTTGGGAGTCTCCGGCTGCGAGCCCGGGGAGGTGCCGAGTGCCAGCTCTCTGTCCGCCAAGGGCTCCAGCGTCAGCGACTTGTAAACCGACACCTTTTTGGGGAGCTTCAAGGTTCAAGGGGTTTAGAGTTTAGGGTTTAGGGTTTAGGGTTTGGGGTTTAGGGTTTGGGGTTTGGGTTTTGGGGTTTAGGGTTTGGGGTTTTGGGTTTGGGGTTTGGGGGTTTGGGGTTTGGGGCTTCAGAGTCCAAGTCCATCCACGACTCTTGGAACCCAGAAGCGCTTCAGTACGAGGATTTAGGGTTTAGCGTTTAGGGTTTGGGGTTTAGGGTTTTGATGTTTAGGGTTTAGGGTTTAGGGTTTAGGGTTTAGGGTTTAGGGTTTAGGGTTTAGGGTTTAGGGTTTAGGGTTTCGGGTTCAGGGCTTGGGGTCTGAAAATCCAGACTGGAAAATCCAGACTGGTACCGGTACGATCAAGATGGGAGACAGCTGCCTTTGAAATCATGAGATCCACGCAATGTGGGGGTTTCCGACATTTAGGGGTGGAAGCAAGAGTGTCGCGCATGTGGTGACTGAAACAACCCCCTAAACCCAAAACCCTAAACCCTAAACCCTAAACCCTAAACCCTAAACCCTAAACCCTAAACCCTAAACCCTAAACCCTAAACCCTAAACCCTAAACCCTAAACCCTTGCTGACATCTACTACAAGAATTCTGCATATGCCTGTCTTCCAGAACCAATGGATTGCCGCGCAAAGGAACTACCCTAAACACAATACCCTAAACCCACATCCTAAAGCCTGTAACTGTAAACCTTCAAACCCTAAAAACCCTACACACTAAGAGGGTCCTAGATTCCTGGTTGCAAAACTCCGGAATCCCTAACCCTAAACACTGCACCCTAAACCCTAAACCCTAAACCCTCGAGGATCGGGAAAGCTGCACGTGACGCGCTAGTTGCAACCCATGCGGGATTGATCGGGATTGGGCACATGGTCTTTGAGGAAATATAACAACTCAAGAGTTTAGGGTTCCGGGTGCAGGGTTTAGGGTTTGGGGCTTAGGGTTGAGGGTTAGGGCTTGGGGTTTAGGGTCTAGGGCATACGGTCACCTAAACCCTAAACCTATCACATCCAGGGCACTTTGCCACTGGCATAGGTGACGGTGTACAGACGGCCGTTCCTTGATCGTTCTTGGCTCAGAAATGTTCTCTGGTCTGTCGTTCCTTTGGGGGTTCTGTGTTTTCGGAGTCTTAAATTTTAGGGCTTGGGGTTTAGGAATGTCGGGACTGAGGGTACCCTAAACCCTACACCCTAAATCCTAAATCCTAGACCCTAAGCCCTAAACCCAAAAGGACCAGAACTTGGAGAGCTGCGCAGGTAGAAGCCCAGATTCTGGATGGTGAAGTCGTCGGCATCGCCCAGCCTCCAGAGAGGGTTATCACGCCACTGCATAAATGCAGAACCCATGGTCAAACCCTCCTCAACCCTCAACCCTCAACCCTCAACCCTCAAACCTCAACCCTCAACCCTCAACCCTCAACCCTCAACCCTCAACCCTCAACCCTCAACCCTCAACCCTCAACCCTCAACCCTCAACCCTCAACCCTCAACCCTCAACCCTCAACCCTCAACCCTCAACCCTCAACCCTCAACCCCCAACCCCCAACCCCCAACCCCCAACCCTCAACCCTCAACCCTCAACCCTCAACCCTCAACCCTCAACCCTCAACCCTCAACCCTCAACCCTCAACCCTCAACCCTCAACCCTCAACCCTCAACCCTCAACCCTCAACCCTCAACCCTCAACCCTCAACCCTCAACCCTCAACCCTCAACCCTCAACCCTCAACCCTCAACCCTCAACCCTCAACCCTCAACCCTCAACCCTCACCCTCAACCCTCAACCCTCAACCCTCAACCCTCAACCCTCAACCCTCAACCCTCAACCCTCAACCCTCAACCCTCAACCCTCAACCCTCAACCCTCAACCCTCAACCCTCAACCCTCAGCCCTCAGCCCTCAGCCCTCAACCCTCAACCAACCCTAGACCCTAGACCCTAAGCCCTCACCACACCGCTTCAGGGTTTAGGGTTTAGGGTTTAGGATTTAGGGTCTAAGGTTTGGGGTTTAGGGTTTAGGGTTAGGGTTTAGGGCTTTAGGGTTAAAGAGCTTGGGCAGCGCAACGGTGCGTGAGGTGAATTGCAGGGGAAGGGAGTGTGCTCCGAAAAGGGACAGGGACAGGCAGCCCTACGCATGAAAGCGCGGCACCCCTTAACCCCATAAAGCCCGAAACTCTGTAAACCCTAAAACCCTAAACCCAAAACCCTGTAAACCCTAAGCCCTAAAAAACTGCAAACCCTGAAGCCCTAACCCCCAAAGTCCCAAACCCGAAACTCGAAACCTCCTGACACTTGTTGGAAGTATCTCTAAACCCTAAACCCTAAACCCTAAACCCTAGACCCTAAACCCTGAACCCCTGACACTTGTTAGAAGAATCTGCAGGCACGTGGCACGACCTCCTTCTGGACCTTGAGGTCAATCGGAAGGTTGATCCGCCTGCCTTTTTTGGGGTTTTTGGGTTTTTAGGGTTTAGGGTTTAGGGTTTGGGGGGGTTGGGGTTTAGGGTTTAGGGTTTCGGGGGGTTTGTGGTTTAAGGTTGAGGGTTTGGGGTTGAAGCTTTAAGGTCCAGGGTCTAAGGTTGAAGTCACGTGACAGCGTAAGCTTGTTTGGGAACCAGATCCACAGAGATCCAGCTGGCCGGCTCTGTAAGGCATGGTTAGGGTTTAGGGTTTAGGGTTTAGGGTTTAGGGTTTAGGGTTTAGGGTTTAGGGTTTAGGGTTTAGGGTTTAGGGTTTAGGGTTTAGGGTTTAGGGTTTAGGGTTTAGGGTTTAGGGGTAGGGTTTAGGGTTTAGGGTTTAGGGTTTAGGGTTTAGGGTTTAGGGTTTAGGGTTTAGGGTTTTGGGTTTAGGGGTTTGGGTTTAGGGTTTAGGGTTTAGGGTTTAGGGTTTAGGGTTTAGGGTTTAGGGTTTAGGAGGTTCTGGAGGCCCGAGGCCCGCAACCCCAACACCGCCCTCCCCAGCCTTTCCCAGGAATCAGCGTGAGACGCAATGGCGCTCGCCTCTCAGAGGGGTTCGGGGTGTAGGGTTTAGGGTTTAGGGTTTTGGGGGTTTGGAGTTTGGACTTTGGGCTTTGGGCTTTGGGCTTTGGGCTTTGGGCTTTGGGTTGGGGTTTGGGCTTTGGGGTTTGGGGCTTGGGTTTGTAGGCCCTTTGTTCGTCAGATTCGGCACTGAACCCCGCCATGCAAATAAGAGGTTTGATCTGAGCGGGCTTTAAAGACGAAGGAAGGAGGTTGGAACTTAGAGTTCAAGAGGGTTTAGGGCTTAGGGTTTAGGGTTTAGGGTTTAGGGTTTAGGGTTTAGGGTTTAGGATTTCGGTTTAGGGTTTAGGAGTCTAGGGTTTTGGACTTGGTCGACAAGGTTCCCTAAACCCTAAACCCGAAACCGCAGATCTTTGAGAGCCCTGACAGAACACTCAACAACCAGGAAGCAAAGCTTGCTACTGGTCGCTGTTCAGGAACTCCAACTAGGCTACCAACATCTGCATTGCCAAAAACAACACCGCTTCCCTGTTGTTCGGCGCAGTTCAAGTCTTTGCGAAAGCCATCTACACCGTGAGGGCCTAGGAATGGGGCGAAACCCCAAACCCTAAACCCTCAACCCTCAACCCTAAACCTTGAACCCTAAACCTTAAACCTTAAGCCCTCCAGCCAAAACCCGATCTCACAAAGCTTGACAGTGCAACAACGTCACTTGACATCGCCGCCCAGCAGGAAGTACCTGGGCCGCGGTCGAACCCTAAAACCCTAAACCCTAAACCCTAAACCCTAAAACCCTAAACCCTAAACCCTAAAAAACTCTAAACCCGAAACCCTAAAGCCTAAAGTAGGGGATTAGAGTTTGTGGCTTCTAGGGCTTGACAGGGTACATTGGGCTCTTTGCGGCTGTGGGGCTCCTTTCTATAGGGTTAAGAATTTAGGGTGTTTGGGGTTTATGGGCTTAGGGTTTAGGGCTCCGGGCTTAGATAAGGCGTATAGGGTTGCGAGGGTTTCGGGTGTTTAGGGTTTTTTGAGAAGTTGGATGAAGGAAAGTTGGGCTTGGGAGTTTCAGCTGTAACTTAATCGGAAGCAGTCTTCCCTACATAGTGTTTAGGGTTCAGGGCTTAGGGTTTAGGGTTTAGGGTTATGGGTTTAGGGGTTTAGGGTTTAGGGTTTGGGGTTTAGGGTTAATTCTACCAAGGCACAGAAAGTTCTGCTTGATCACGATCCGTCGCAGATCACACCCCGCCTTGCTGCACCCTCCCATCTCAGGAATCTTGGCAGAAAGCTTGTGCCCCGACTGGTTGAAGACGTTGATGTAAATCTGCCGCCTCATGCGCAAGACCCCGGCATGAAAGCACCGGGCCCCGTGCACGGAATATGCGCGGCTTGGGTCGTGGGCATTGGGGATGGCCGCAAGATGGAGGCGCCCTTGGCCCGGAAGAAGGTAGCGCTGGGCCCCTCGCGCGTACGCGAGCTGGCACGTGCTCCTCAGCACGTCGCCGGGGCGGTGGTCGACGGTGTCAAAGGTGGCAGAAGTCACCACGGCCACCACGTGGTCCATGAAGAGAGTCGCCTGCACTCCCCTTAACAACCACAATGAAAATCAGCGTGTGTGTGTGTGTATATCCACATTCTCTGGGTTTTGTAAAAAAAAGACGTAACCTAACAAAAGCTTCCCAAACCCTAAACCCTAAACCCTAAACCCTCTGTCCATGAAGAGAGTCACATGGTTAGTGCAGAGTCCAGAGGTCTCGAAGTGGCTGTGGGGAACGAGGTGGACGTGCGGCACCCGCCCACAAACGCTCCGCAAAGTTGTGGTCATGTAGAGATTCCTGGGGTTTTAGGGTTTAGGGTTTTGGGTTTTGCGTGTTGGGTTTTGGATTTTGGGTTTAGGGTTTAGGGATGAAACTAGGGATTTAGGGTGAAGTGGCGCTCATGGAGCGATTCTTGGGTTGCTCTGTTCAAGAAGTTAGACCAAGGGCTTTGAGCTTAGGGTGAACTCAAACCAACCTAACATCAATTGATGTCAAGTAAGTATTATTTGCTCCCGTATTCGAACCCTAAACCCTAAATGCCTTTCAATTTCCCTAAACCCTAAACCCCAATTTAAACCACAACCCAGGTTCAGGGTAGCCATCTTCCAGAAATGACGCACAGACAGGAGGTACTCGCCGGGCTTGCAGGTAGGAGACAGGCCGAAGAGCACCCCAGCATCATTCTCCTCTTCCTCCTGTTGCTGAATGGTGAACTAGGAAAGTAGGCTTCCTAAGCCTTACTGGTTCCAAATATGGACTTCGAGAATTAGGATCCGCTTAGACTGCCCCCATTATCTAGCTGTTCCCTGAACCCTAAAGCCCAAACCTTAAACCCTAAACCCCAACCCAGAAAGTCCGCGACCTCTCCGGAAGCGTAAAGAAGTGACACTGGGGCTTACGGTTTAGGGTTTAGGGTTTAGGTTTAATGTTACTGGGAGTGAGACGAACCCAACGAGCCAAATAGCCCTTAATGAGGGAATACACCTTTAAATATCTGAAGGATCCCTGTATAACTTGAGGTGTATTCCTTAATTAAGGGTTGGGAAGCACCAGAAACGCCCTAAACAATAACTCCTGAACCCTAAACCCTAAGCCCTGAGCCCTAAACCGGCACCGGATCCTCCGAGCCGAAGAACCGGAGGCCCTTGCCAACGGCCAGGGGCGCGGGCAGAGGGACCGCATAGGAGGCCTCCCGAATGGGGTTTGGGTTTGGGGTTTGGGGTTTAGGGTTTAGGGTTTAGGGTTTAGGGTTTAGGGTTGAGGGTTGAGGGTTTAGGGTTTAGGGTTTAGGGTTTCGGGTGGAACTCGGAATCTCTCCACAGCCCTCCCTTCGCCCTCCCGAGCACTGCAGTTCAGGGCTTTGGGCTTTCAGGCCAAACCCTAAACCCTGAACCCTAAACCCTGAACCCTAAACCCTAAACCCTGAACCCTAAACCCTAAACCCTAAGCCCCTAAACCCCTAAACCCCTAAACCCCTAAACCCTAAACCCTAAACCCTAAACCCTGTTCAGAGCTCTGGGCTTGGGAGCGTCGGGCCAGGGACCAAGTAATCCTGCACCGGCCTGCTTGCTCTGCAGAGGCAGCCAGGCACCTTTGCCACGACACCCAACGGTTTCGGGGACTTGTATGCGAGGGTTTAGGGTTTAGGGTTTAGCTTTTTAGGGATTTTAGGGTTTTTAGGGTTTTTAGGGGGTTTAGGGGGTTTAGGGGGTTTAGGGGGTTTAGGGGGTCCGCCGACCCTGGCGGCGTGTTGGATAGGTTTCTGGAGGTGAAAAACTCCCTTTTTCCCTCCTTACCCCCCCCAAAACGCCTGCCCCCCGGCAGCTTTTCCGTGGAGGGCCAGGCCACCCACACCGCGTAAACTCATGGACCATAGGCGGTTTCGCAGCCTTTCCCCCCCACACTTCCAGGATCGTAATCAGCATCAAAGAGCTGCTACACCCAAACACGAGTGCTGGTTCTGGCCTTTGTTCAACAAATTGCCCCATTTGGGTCCTGGTGCTACCCCCTACCCCCCCCCCCCCCACGTTTCACAGAGGCGCGAGCGTTTCACAACTTTTGGGATTCTGCCGAGCAGGCTGCGATGCTCTTCGAACCATGCGATGAGGAAAGCATCCTTTGAGCCGACGAGCGGGTTTAGACCTTTCAACTATGCTCTGGCGGGGTCGGCGGCTTGAGCCGGAGGCTCTTAAATCCGGCCCCCGCGCCGCCCGTGGTCCAGGGCGGAGCCCGCGTCGCACTAAAGCGCTAGCTTTAAGGGGCGAGCGCCCGAGCCGCCGACCCCGCCCAAAATTGCTTCAAATTCGCGCGGGGCCCTTCGGGAGGCCTCCAAAACGGCATCCAAGGGGACGCAACACGCGGTGGTGCGAAAAGCACGAAAACCTCGTAAAAACCATGGGTTTTTACGAAAAACCGAGGCCACAAAACACCCGCAGCACCCCATTAAACCCTCACGGGCGCGCATCATCGGCCCTAGCTTTTCACATGGGGCGCGCGCCAGGCCGAAACCACGTTTTTCAAGGTTTGGGGGGGGTACCGGAAGCCCAAAACCAGGCGAGCATCATGAGCATCAGCAGCCCTGGCCCGCGGGCCCAAGGCAATAAAAAACGCTGAAAAACGCTGAAATCACCGTAAATACCGTGTTTTTATGAGGTTTTTCACGCGTGCCTCCGACCCCCACCCCTGTTGCCCTTGACCCGCCCCCAAAGTGCGCATCATCGAAACCCACGTCCGGGGGGGGGTCTGCTGATGCTGCTGATGCGTGGGGGTCCGGCGCATCATCGAGCCATCGCTTCTCATGGGCTTCGTGGGGGGGTCCGGGCCGACGGCCCAGAGACCCAGCTGATGCTCATGATGCTCGGTTTGGGGGGGGTTCCAACAGCAGAAAACCTCGTAAATACCGAGTGTTTTGTGGGTCCACGTAAAAACGCCCCTAAAATCGCTCATTTTACGCGCTCGAACGGCTTCGTGCCTACAAAACACCCGAACAGCAGGACCCCGAATGCCCTTAAGGGCATTCGGGGTCTTGCTTTTGGGGGTTTCGTGGGCACGCAAGCGTTCAAGCACATACAATCGGCGTGTTTAAGGGGGTTTTGGATGGCCTGGGGGAGGCCGCTGATGCTCATGATGCTCCCTTTCCTGGGTCCCAAAAGGCTTCCCAAGCCCAAAAACACGTGTTTACAGCGTTTTCTGAAGGTTTTTCGAAGGCAAAACGCATGCATAGAATGCTTTTAAGGCCCCCAAACCAACCCCACTGATGCTCCTGATGCGGGTGCGCGCGCGCGCGCGCGGCGCGCGCGCCGGCGGGGGGGGGGGGGGGGGGGGGAGGGAGGGGTGGCGAAGGCAGGAGAAAGAGAGACAGAGAGAAGGAGAGGACAAAGACACGGGAAAGAGAAGACAGTGCCAAGGTTCAAGGTTTCGTGCTTTGGGGGGCGGGGGCCGGCCCGTGCCGCTAGGCCTGAAATCCGGCCCCCACGCCGCCCGTGGTCCAGGGCGGAGCCCGCGTCGCACTAAAGCGCTAGCTTTAAGGGGCGAGCGCCCGAGCCGCCGACCCCGCCCAAAATTGCTTCAAATTCGCGCGGGGCCCTTCGGGAGGCCTCCAAAACGGCATCCAAGGGGACGCAACACGCGGTGGTGCGAAAAGCACGAAAACCTCGTAAAAACCATGGTTTTTTACGAAAAACCGAGGCCACAACACACCCGCAGCACCCCATTAAACCCTCACGGGCGCGCATCATCGGCCCTAGCTTTTCACATGGGGCGCGCGCCAGGCCGAAACCACGTTTTTCAAGGTTTGGGGGGGGTACCGGAAGCCCGAAACCAGGCGAGCATCATGAGCATCAGCAGCCCTGGCTCGCGGCCCCAAGGCAGTAAAAAATGCTGAAAAACGCTGAAATCACCGTAAATACCGTGCTTTTATGAGGTTTTTCACGCGTGCCTCCGACCCCCACCCCTGTTGCCCTTGACCCGCCCCCAAAGTGCGCATCATCGAAACCCACGTCCGGGGGGGGTCTGCTGATGCTGCTGATGCGCGGGGGTCCGGGCGCATCATCGAGCCATCGTTTCTCATGGGCTTCGTGGGCCTCCGGGGCCGACGGCCCAGAGACCCAGCTGATGCTCATGATGCTCGTTTTGGGGGGGGGTTCCAACAGCAGAAAACCTCGTAAATACCGAGTGTTTTGTGGGTCCACGTAAAAACGCCCCTAAAATCGCTCATTTTACGCGCTCGAACGGCTTCGTGCCTACAAAACACCCGAACAGCAGGACCCCGAATGCCCTTAAGGGCATTCGGGGTCTTGCTTTTGGGGGTTTGGTGGGCACGCAAGCGTTCAAGCACATACAATCGGCATGTTTAAGGGGGCTTTGGATGGCCTGGGGGAGGCCGCTGATGCTCATGATGCTCCCTTTCCTGGGTCCCAAAAGGCTTCCCAAGCCCAAAAACACGTGTTTACAGCGTTTTCTGAAGGTTTTTCGAAGGCAAAGCGCATGCATAGAATGCTTTTAAGGCCCCCAAACCAACCCCACTGATGCTCCTGATGCGGGTGCGCGCGGCGCGCGCGCGCGCGCGCGCGCGCGCGCCGGGGGGGGGGGGGGGGGGGGGGTGGGCGAAGGCAGGAGAAAGAGAGACAGAGAGAAGAAGACAGTGCCAAGGTTCAAGGTTTCGTGCTTTGGGGGGCGGGGGCTGGCCCGTGCCGCTAGGCCTGAAATTTAGGGGGATTAGGGGTTTAGGGGGATTAGGGGTTTAGGGGTTTAGGGGTTTAGGGGTTTAGGGGGTTTAGGGGTTTAGGGGTTCAGGGGGTTTAGGGTTGAGGGCGTAGGGTTTAGGGTTTAGTGCGCACGTCAGAGATGCTCACAGTCTCTGGGGATGTAGCTTCAGGGTTTAGGGCTTCAGGCTTGTCGGCTTCAGAGAATTCGCTGGAGAACGTCTTGCCAAGGAACAGGCAGCCAGGTACTCAAATTCATAGTTGTCCTGGGCTGACTGCTTTGTTCTGAACTAAGACGTGGACATCCAAACACCCAAGCAAAGAAAATGCGTAAGCCCTCAAGCCTCAAGCCCTAAACTCTCTGCCGCAGATTCCCCTCGCTCCACCGCAAGAAACCTAAAGCTATACCCACATGCCCCGGCAATCGACCCAAACCCTGCTGTCCTCATTGGCAAGATCACCACACCCCTGCCAGGCAGCGCAAAGGAGCTTTAGGTTTTAGGGTTTAGGGTTTAGGGTTTAGGGTTTAGGGTTTAGGGTTTAGGGTTTAGGGTTTCGGGTTTAGGGTTTAGGGTTTAGGGTTTAGGGTTTAGGGTTTAGGGTTTAGGGTTTAGGGTTTAGGGTTTGGGCAATTCGAAGAAACTCCCTCAGGCTGGCACGCCTCAACGCAGCAGATGCAACGCAAAAAAAAAGCTTCGAACGACCCTTAGGTACCAGTGCCTTGCAAGGCGACACGTACACAAAGAACCGAAAAAGGCCAACACACCCCCCGAGTTCGGTACTCAAGCCACCAAATACACAGCACAGTATATCACGAAGGGGGGTTATTTTGGAGGGCGTTTTAGTAGAGGAGGGGGCGGGGGGTCACGAGTACCATCAGTTTGGGATTTAGGGCTTAGTTAGCCCGATACCACACCTATATTGAAGAAGCAACCCTCAATTATGTGAGAGGTCAGAATATGAATTGGGGCATATTCCTTTACAAAGGGGTTTAGGGTTTAGGGGTCTGGGATGTTCTGGTGGGACAACGTATGTTGAATCCTGCCAGCAATCCTAAATCCCTGCACTTCACCACGCTCAGATCTCAACTCTTGTGTTTAGGCTGTAGGGTTTAGGGTTTAGGGTTTAGGGTTTAGGGTTTAGGGTTTAGGGTTTAAGGCTTAGGGTTTAGGGTTTAGGGTTTAGGGTTTAGGGTCAAGGGTCTAGGGTAAACCCTACGTAAACCCTAGCTGCCTCCGGCATTGCCGAGTGATTCGATGCCCTCAACAGCGGGCTCTGGAACAGCTCGTGCAGATGGAGAAGACCCCCTGCCACTTCGGGTTTGAGGGTTTAGGGTTTAGGGTTTACGGTTAGAGTTTAGTGTCAGCAGAAGTCTGCAGCAGGCATAGAAGTCAGAGCGTCGGATTTTATTTGCTGGCGGGCGCAATGAGCCTATTTTAATGTTCGGTCCCTGATCTCGTTTGCCTTAAAACACCTCTTCCGGGCCAATGTCGTCTTAAGGGGTGATCTCGTTCAGTATTACATAGTACTTGGAGTGTAGTGAGTGGTATAGTTGCCCTTAACCTTCGCCCGGTAACCCATAGTGCTTCTCTGAGCAACTCTGCCATTTTCACCCGTTTACGGTTAGGGTTTAGGGAGCAGGGCCCAAGTTGTTGCGAAGACGTGCCCCAGTACTCTTGTTGCCTCCGTGGAAAGCAACCAAACAGGAGACACTTGACTCCAAAACTGGCCCTAAACCTTCCAGCCCTGTCTCAATAACTCCTAAACCCGAGTCCTTGTGATTGTGCCTCCCATGGCCCTCTGGCTTCCCTGGCTGCCTTCGTGCAATTTTTTGATCACGTTTGGATCACGTTTGGATCTCGTCTGGGATCGGCAGCAATCTCCAGGCAATCCCCAACCTGGGCCGAAGCGGTTGAGCCTCAAAGGCTTCTGAGTCTAAGCGGTTCAAAGCACAGCCGCCGTTCCCAGCGAGCAGCTTTTGCCAGCAATAGCCTACGCGAAACCAACTCTTCATCGTTTAGCGAACGCCTTCACACAACTATATACATGGTGGCTATGCATATATGACTAAACAAAGGCTTAGTTATACATATATGTATATAAATATAATAGGTACAGATAAGGATTATGTATGCAGTATAATTATGCAAGTAAACAAGTACAAGTATAAATTTCTTCATTCTACAACATGATCTCGTTTGATGTTCGGCCCCGATCTCGTTACCGAGAGAGAGCGACACCCCAACAAAAAAATAGGGCACATCCAAAGTAACTCTGCTCGTGCGTAAATAAAAGCGGTTGCTCATTAGAGGCCGCCCCAAAGGCCAAGGGACATGATTTTGCAAAAGCCCACGGCTAAACTGTATCTCCCCGACCCATGACAGCAACCCTAAGCCCTAAACCCTTGACCCCAAAACGCTGAACCGTAAACCCGAAACCCGAAACCCCAAACCCTACACCTAAACCCTAAACCCTAAACCCCTCAACCGGCAACATGCGACCTATTCCCTAAACCCCAAACCCCACATCGTACGTAATCTTGGTATGTTGGTCTGCACACCGAGGGTATCCTAAACCTCAAGCCCTAAACTGCCCAAAACCCTAAGGGTTTAGGGCTTAGGGCTTAGGGCTTAGGGCTTAGGGTTTAGGGTTTAGGGTTTAGGGTTTAGGGTTTAGGGTTTAGGGTTTAGGGTTTAGGGTTTAGGGTTTAGGGTTGAGGTTTAGGGAATCCTTCTTGGCGTCGCTCAGGTTGCGTGGGGATCCGGGCGGGCCTCCCTCAACCCGACACCCGCCTAAAACACCCCAAACTTAGGGTTGAGGGAGTTTAGGGGCCCCTACGCACACCTTTCTACCCTGTCTTCTAAACAGCGTCCTGAACCCTAACCCTTAAACACCCAGAACCCCCAATCCCTAAAACCCAAAAACCTCTCAACCCTCAAAAGCCCTAAAAACCCCACAACAAACCTAAAAGCAAACCCTAAAACCCTGAAAACCCTCAGAACATTATTTCAAACAAAAACCCACCAAAAAACCCTACAAAACCCCAAACAACCCTGCAAACCCTAAATACATCCTTAAAATAAAGCTTCAAAGACCCTAAAAGCCCTGCAAAAACAAAGCCCTTCAAAACCCTCAGAACCCTGAACAAAGCCTGCCCCCCTTTCTGGGGGTTCTACCTTGGACCCTTAAGGTTGTACCCTTGGGTTTTGGTGTCTCTTTTGAAGGATCCCTAAGGGAACATAAGGGCCATATTAGCAGTACTTAAGGGGAACCTTTAGGGGTACAACCCTACTTAGAGGTTCATGGTACTTACTAACAAATTATAACAGTACTTATAACCCACTTAGAAGCCCCTTAAGTGCCCTAACATGGTTATAAGCACAGTTATAAGTACAGTTATAATTGGTTAATAAGTTCATGTACCATGAACCTCCAAGTAGGGTTTAGGGTAACCCTAAACCCTAAACCCTAAACCCTAAACCCTAAACCCTAAACCCTAAACCCTAAACCCTAGACCCTAAACCCTAAACCCTAAACCCTAAACCGTGTCTCAAGCCAAGCTACGAGTCTTCATCCCTTAACCCTTGCCTCGTCCCGGCTCCGACACCTGAGGCATTTCGGGTTTGCTTTGATAAGGCGTAGTGCTGTGATAAGGCGTAGATGCTGTGAAGGTTAGGTTTCGGAACAAGCTCGAATGCTTCGTAAAGTGCGAGGAGCTGCTTTGGCCCGATTGTGGGGGGCCATCTAACACTTTTCTCCGACCCCACGCCGTCCGAGGAGCCACCCAAACCTATTCCTTTTAGGGTTTAGGCCTAAACTCAAGGACTGACGTTCGGGGTTGGGTTGGAGAGTCAAGGTAGGTGGCAGACGGGGTCAGGCGGGCCAAGGGGGGGGGGGCCAGAGGGGCCAGGGCGGCCAGGAGGCCAGGGGTCAGAGGCCAGGGAAGGGGGGAGAAAAGCACCAAAATCGAGTTTTTGAGCCTCCTGGCCTGGAGGCCTGGGGCGGCCAGCGACCGGTGGGGGCTTGGATTTAGGGTACTTACCTTATTAAGGGGACCAGTACTAGGGTTTAGGGTTTAGGGTTTAGGGTTTAGGGATTAGGGTTTAGGGCGCTGACTCCACGCACCAAGCTGCAAGGTCGCACAGGTTCGGTCTCAACATGTCGAAACCTCGGCCAAATCCTTCAAAATCAACCAGACAAGGCACGGAACGTTCAGGGTCCCTAAACCCCAAACCCTAAACCCCAGACCCTGAACCCTGAACCCTGAACCCTGAACCCTGAACCCTGAACCCTGAACCCTAAACCCTAAACCCTAAACCTAAACCCTAAACCCTAAACCCTAAACCCACTGCAGCGGCGCCGAGCTGCCAGAGTCATCAGCAGCAGGTCCGGGACGAGCAAGTTAGCCATGCGGCGGGCTTTGCTTGAGAGTGCCTGGCGCATGCTACACTTAAGGGGCTTCTAAGTGGGTTATAAGTACTGTTATCATAGGCTAATAAGTACCATGAACCTCTAAGCAGATGCGGCTGGAGAGGGTCTGCGGGTTTAGGGTTTAGGGTTGAGGGCTTAGGGTTGAGGGTTTAGGGTTTAGGGCTTTCGGCTTAGGGGTTTAGGGTTTGGGGCTTAGGGGTGCAGGGTTTAGGGTTTGGGGTTTAGGGGTCTAGGGTTTCGGGTTTCGAGTTTAGGATGAAAGGTGAGGCCCTTATACCGCTTAACCCCAACTACACCAAGCCAGAGGAGCCACCAGCTGACGCTCATTGTCCACACCCCAAACCTACAGTCTTAAGCCCCAAACACTGAACCTTAAACCCGGGACCCTGAATCCGAAGCCCAAACTGAAACCACCTCCGCAATGTTTACAGGACCGCCTGCTTGGCGCTTACAACTGCTTCCCAGACCTCTGAAAGGATGGAAAAAGTAGAACCCCCCAAATAGTACCCCTGTACTACTCTTGGGTCATTTTTAGGAACCCTTAAGGGGATCTACCTTTTGGATCTTCCCATTGGTCTGGGCTGAGGTATTTGCATGGTCCCTTAATATGGTCCCCAGTATGGGCCCTTGTGTTTTCTATGGTACATATGGGGTGTATAAGGGGTCCCCTCTGGGCCCATACTAAGAGACCATGCAACTGCCCTAAACCCCTAAACCCCTAAACCCCTCTAAACCTCTAAACCCCTCAACCCCTAAACCCCTCTAAACCCCTAAACCCCTAAACCCCTAAACCCCTAAACCCCTAAACCCCTAAACCCCTAAACCCCTAAACCCCAATGGAACCGATACATACGATCCCAACGCACCAAACGACGTGCAAATTCATAATTCATTTGTCCTAAGTCTCCGTTAGGGATCTTTGCGTGCCTCTCGCATGGATCGTCCGCAGGACCACTTGCATAAACCCCTAAACCCCTAAACCCCTAAACCCCTAAACCCCTAACCCCTAACCCCCCCTAAACCCCTAAACCCCTAACCCCTAACCCTAAACCCCTAAACCCCTAAACCCCTGAACCCCTAAACCCCTAAACCCTAAACCCCTAAACCCCTAAACCCCTAAACTCCTAAACCCTAAACCCCTAAACCCCTAAACCCCTAAACCCCTAAACCCTAAACCCTAAACCCTAAACCCTAAACCCCAGTTAGGCCCAGACCAAAAGCTCCTAGGCCGGAGATGCCGTGGCCTCGCCTCGTGCATCTCACCCTCCTGGCCGGTGTCCTGCTCAGCGCTCGTTACCAGCCTCCCTAAACCCTAAACCCTAAACCCTAAACCCCATTCAGTTTAGGGCTTCGAGTTGAGCTTCCATAAGGGCTTGGTGTCCGGGGTTGGTTCTACTTCCAGTGGGCACCAAACCGTGCTCCAAATGGACATGTCTTGAACCAACAAGCGGCCTTCTGATCTCTCACCCTCAACCCTCAACTCTAAACCCTAACTCCTAAAGCCTCTTAAAACAAGTTCGGGCTTAGGATTGAAGGCTGGGTCCACTGAACTGCACATTGCTTCCAAAGAGTTCAGGACCCTATTTAGAGGCTCGTGGGGACTTATGAACAGGGTTATAAGTAGGGTAGGTATAGCTACAACTGGATTAACCTTTATTTGGGTACATACTTGGAAGCTCTTTTGGCTTTTTGTAAGTCTACGTACTATGCCCTAGAAACCCCATTAAAATCCCCCTAACCCGCCTTACCAACCCTACTTACCAAGCCAAAAGGCGGGGCTTCCAAATAGCCCTAAACCCCAAACCCTCAACCCTGAACCCTAAACCCTAAACCCTAAACCCTAAACCCTAAACCCTAGACACCAAACCCTAAACACCCTAAACCCTAAACCCTACATGGGGGGGGGGGGGGAAGGCAAGTGGCTCGTGGCAACTGGCGCCCCACAAGGTCCTAAAGCCCCCCAAACCCCAAACCCCAAACCCCAAACCCTAAACCCAAAAAACCCCAAACTCTAAACCCGAAACCCTATCTAAACCCTGAACCCTAACTACCCTGAACCTTAACTAAACTCTAAACCTTGAATTGGGGGACTTTGAGGCATCTCAACCCAGCAAATCTGCATGGCTCCTCCACCCATACACCCTTCCTTCAAAAACAACGCTAAACCCTTTGAAGTGTAAACCCTAAAACCCTAAACCCCTAAAACCCTAAACCCCTAGAAGTCGAAGCCCTGGAAGCTAATCTTTTTGTAGGGGATAGGATTAGGGGGATCCTTGGAAAATACAGACCCTCCGAGTAGGGTCCCTGTTTAAGAGAGCCAGAAGAGGGTTCAGAAGGGATCCCTTGTAAGGGTCCCCCTGATCCTACCTAGGATTTAGGCCCCTTGAAACGACCCCGAGGATCCTGTGCCGATCGATACATGCGCGCCAAGACCAGGAGGTACCTGGACATGGGATGCTTTCTTTGATGCTTCCGAATTCGGGGCTTCGGGTTTAGGGCTTAAGGCTTAGGGCTTCGGGCTTAGGGCCTGGGGCCTGGGGCCTAGGGCTTAGGGTTTAGGGTTTAAGGTTTAGGGCTCAAGGGCTTTTGGGAAGCTCAAGTACACCCGCTACCACTTCATGTCCTGACCTGTGGCTGTGCTCATTGGCATTCCGCTGAAAACATGTTCAAAAGCTTTTCTTGTACTTGATATATATATATATATATACATACATACATACATACATACATACATGTATACATTTTTGTTTATCTGTCTATTCATGTACATTTATCAAGTTATTATTGCTATTCATTTTGATTCATTTATTATGTCTTTCTTTGTTCTTGTATATTTACATACATGTGTATATATATATACATGAATAGTAGTGGTGGTGGTGGTGGTGGTGGTGGTGGTGGTGGTGGTGGGGGCGGCGGTGGCGGTGGCGGTGGCGGTGGCGGTGGCGGTGGCGGTGGCGGCGGCGGCGGCCGCCGTCGTCGTCGTCGTCGTCGTCGTCGTCGTCGTAGTAGTAGTAGTAGTAGTAGTAGTAGTAGTAGTAGTAGTAGTAGTAGTAGGAGTAGTAGTAGCAGTAGTAGTAGTGGTAGTAGTAGCAGGTAGTAGCAGTAGCAGTAGCGATAGCAGTAGCAGTAGCAGTCGCAGTCGCAGTCGCAGTAGCAATAGCAGCAGCAGCTGTAGGTGTGGCTTGGCAGGGCTAGCTATGATTTCATCCCTCCAAGCTGCAAGACTTTAGGAAGGCCACCGAATGTGCAAAGACTGGACGACGCTGCTTGCTTTCACCTTGCTGGAAGCTTGCAGGGTTTTGGGCTTAGGGCTTAGGGTTTCGGGTTTCGGGTTTCGGGTTCAGGCTCTTTTGCAGCGTTGGTAGACCTCAAGGATACATGCAGGACCTTGCTGTCTTCGACATCAAGGTGGAATATATATTGGACATGCTGCACAAAAGAGCCCCGGCTGAGGGCCATCCCCAACAGACTCTGCAACAAGCTCATGGGCACCGCCGGTGTAAAAATCCCTGAGGTGCCCCAATCTTCAATCACTTACAGTCATTCCAGCTTCCGGATCCGCGGCCGCCAGAGTTGCCTGAAAGGCCGTGACCCCATCGATTTCCGCCCATTCCCAGCGGATGCCCGGATACTGGCGATGAAGCTGGTTGAAGGTTGCCCTGGCCAAAAAGATGGGTCCCAGACCCCTGCTGAGCGGCGCAGTGGCAGCGTAAAGGGCGCTGTAGGCGCAAGGGACTGAGCAGAAGCCGCACACGGAGGAGATCGCAAAGAACGCAAAGTTCATGACACTGTCCAGTACGGTTCCCATAGCGGCGAGGACCATGAAGGGAACAGCAGCTGCAAAAAAGAACAGAAAGAGGGCAAGGCCTCCGATCGGATCAGCATCTGTCTGGAGACTTGACTGGACTTCCGTACTTGAAACCCAAAACCCTAAACCCTAAACCCTAAACATAGATGTTAAACAAGTCCGGCCTCGCATGATGGCAAACCTCCTTTCTTTGGCTGCTCGTTGCACCAGCTGATCCAGCTCACCTTTCACCTGCGCGTGCGGTGGCGTGCCACGCTGAGGTTTTCTAACACCGGAGAGTGAAGCATTGTGAGTATAGTAAACCCTGAACCCTAAACCCTAAACCCTAAACTCCCTTTTCCAGATTCCACTTACTTACCAGACTTCCTACCGGCACACTACATCGTGCCACTGCAATGCACTCATGGCCCTAGCAGGCCACAGCATGTCCACCGCCACGTGCTTCTTGACTCTTGCAACATGGTCTAGGGTTTACGGTTTAGGGTTTAGGGTTTGGGGTTTGGGGTTTAGGGTTTAGGGTTTAGGGTTTAGGGTTTAGGGTTTAGGGTTTAGGGTTTAGGGTTTAGGGTTTAGGGCTTCGTTTCTAGGGTTTAGGGTAAACTCGAACTGGTGACCGTTGGTCATGGACCTCCGGCAACCATTCCCTGTTCACTTCAGGATGTGGGAACTGATGGGAATATGGGCAGTTCTCTAAGCTACAGTAACTTCCCTTTTTTGGGGTGACCCTATATGTTTAGGGTTCAGGGTTCAGGGTTTAGGGTTTAGGGTTCGGAAACCAAGGGACCCCTAACATAGACCCCCAAACACTAGGATCCCCTTATCATAAGGACCCCAATAGGGTAACCCCCCATCTGGTACAGCACCTTAGTGATTGAGTGCTTAAGGGAAGGGGGGGGGGGTTCAAGGGGGGTATGTAACACAAGGTTTCCCTAATACTCCCCACTACTCCCTAAGGATCCCAAAGCTAGGGTTCCCTAAAGTTCCCTGGGTACCTGCCCCCCATGAGCCACCCTCCCTGAAGAAGCCAACCCTAAACCCTAAACCCTAAACCCTAAACCCCGGACCCTGATTTAGGGACGTGACACCCGAGATCACCTGGTACATCCATGACATCCCACACCAGGAGGTTGAAAGCAACTGCTAGCTGAGGAGGTCATTAGGGTTTAGGGTTTAGGGATACCCAAATCGTGGTTGGAGGAGCCTCCCGATATCTACCACCCCAAACTACCATGCAAGTGCTCCGAAATGCGCACCCACGTACATAGCATACATAGCTTCCCAAAGGACCCCAAGCTCAAAGACCTCACCTGAAGGTAGTCTTCTTGGCTGAGATGGCCCTGCAGTTCCTCTGGCACCTCCTCGGGCACGTACGGTCGCTCCCAGAGCCCCTGCTTCAAGATTGGCACGACCGCTGACATGGCCAGCGCGGAAACCGTTGAATTTTTGCGGCTCCCTCCTTGAGCCTCCGAATCCGAAAGGACCGGGACGTGCATGAGGCCAGAAGCCCTTCATTTAGGGATGTCTACTTTCCAGAGCTAGTGCAGTTCAGGGCTGTGGGAGTCCGGGTGTCTGAATGGGGTCTCTCCTCCAGCGCGTTCCTTCGAGCTTAGGCGGCGACTACAGAGGGGAGAAGAAGTCAAACCAGCAAGGCCCGAAGCCTGAACCCCCGCACCCTGAACCCAAAACCCAAAACCCTGAACCCTGAACCTTAATTAAACCCTAAACCCTAAACCCTAAACCCTAAACCCTAAGCTCTGCAGGGTTGCATCTGTAGGTGTGTCCGCAGCAGCTCGGCAAACTTCCCGCGCTCCTCAAGCGGAAGCGACTCCTGAGCTGTCTTGAGGGTTTCGGGTTTAGGGTTTAGGGTTTGGGGTTTGGGGTTCAGGGCTTCGTGCTTAGGGCTTTGGGTTGGTGCACATTTAAGAAGCCTGAAACGCTAAACCGTAAGGGAACCCGGCCAGGGCTCGGCGGGGCGCAAGATCTCCGTGGACGTGGCAAGATCTTGCGACGCACCCGGTGGATACATTCTAGTGGTTCAGGATCGCGATGTTTAGGGATTCAGGGTCAAATGGGTTAAAATCTAAGGGAGTTAGGGTTTAGGGTTCAGGATTTGGGGATGCAAGTTCAGCAAAGCCGCCGGACTTCAGGGACATCATGACCCCAAGCGCCACATGGTTTCAGGGCTTAGGCGTGTTCAGGGTTTAGGGTTTAGGGTTTAGGGTTTAGGGTTTAGGGTTTAGGGTTTAGGGTTTAGGGTGAAAGAAGCCCAAAATCAAACACCCATCAACCGCAGGTTTCGCGGTGGCTCGGCTTCGGGTCCTCAAACTGAATCCCAGACCTCAAACATAAGGCTCAACTGCGGCTTGCAGGTTTAGGATTTAGGGCTTAGGGCTTAGGGTTTAGGGTTTAGGGTTTGGGGTTTAGGGTTTAGGGTTTAGGGTTTAGGGTTTAGGGTTTAGGGTTTAGGGTTTAGGGGTTGAGGGCGACTGGCCGGGCCCCCGAGGGTTCTTCTGCCGGCAGCCTTGCTCGATGATGGCCCAGCGGTTGAAGCTTGTCGCGCGGCTGACCGTCCTCGGACATATAGGGCTTGGGGTCTCGGGTTTAGGGTTTAGGGTTTAAACCCTAAACCCTAAACCCTGAACCCAGAAACCCTAAACCCTAAACCCTAAACCCTACAGCCTAAAGCCTAAAGCCTAAACCCTAAACCCTAAACCCTAAACCCCTAAACCCTAAACCCTAAACCCGAAACCCCTGGCGGGTGGGCCCCCTAAGAACCATCCCAGGAGCTGAACAAACTCCGACAGATGTTGGTCAGCAGCTGCGGCGGACGACGCCAAACTCTTCTTCCTGACATGGGTTTAGGGTTTAGGGTTTAGGGTTTAGGGTTTAGGGTTTAGGGTTCAGGGTTCAGGGTTTAGGGTTTAGGGTTCAGGGTTCAGGATTCAGGGTTTAGGGTTCAGGGTTGAGGGTTTCAGGGTTTCAAAGTTCAGGGGTTAGGGTTTAGGGTTTCGGGTTTAAACCCTAAACCCTCATTGGGATTTAGGATGGTCCCCCTTCTGGGGGTTTAGGGCTTAGGGAAGGTTAGGGTTTATGGTTTAGGTTATGAACCCCGTAGGGCTTCAGGAAGTTTAGGGTATAGGGCTTGGGGTTCAGGGTTTGGGGCTTAGGGTTGAGGATTTTGGGTTTAAGGTTCGGGGCTTAGGGTTTTGGAGTTGTGGGGTGTAGGATTTCGGGAAAGCCCTCGATCCCAGGCCCAGGCGCCAGAGGCCATCCAGCAAGGACATGTCCTGCTGTTGGGGTTTTAGGGTTTGGGGTTGAGGGGTCTAGGGGTTGAGGGTTTGTATAAGGTTGAGGGTTTAGGGGTGTAGGGGCTGAGGGGTTGGGAGGTTTAGGGTTTGGGGTTTAGGGGGGTTGGGGGCTGAGGGGACTACGGGTTTGGGCTTTAGGGTTAGGGGCTTAGGGGTTTAGGGTTTAGGGTTTGTGGTTGGCGGCTTTGGGTTTAGGACGTCAGTCATGAAGCGATCACGTTCTGACTTACTCTCAAGGGCGCTCAAGCTTCAGGGTCTACCCGAAGAGCCCAGCACCCCTTCATTCAGAAATATACCTGAAATCATGCGAAGGATCGCGAAATATAGTTGAAGGTATATTCCTTACTTAAGGGGTTTCGGGCTCTCTGGGTCAACCCTAAACTCTACACCCTAAAGCCTACACCCTAGACCCGACACCTTAAACCCTAAACCCTAAACCCTAAACCCTACACCCTACACCCTAAACCCTAAACCCTAAACCCTAAACCCTAAACCCTGCCTAAACCCTAAACCCTAAACCCTGAACAACGTGCTCGGGCAGTCCTGGATCTGCTCGTCCGCAGCCCGCGCCCGCGCCGAGCCAATGCGAAAGAGCTCCTGGTTTAGGGTTTAGGGTTTAGGGTTTAGGGTTTAGGGTTTAGGGTTTAGGGTTTAGGGTTTAGGGTTTAGCGTTTAGGATTTAGGGTTTAGGGTTTACACTTCATGCCTGACATCCTAAACCCAAAGCCCCCAACCACAAACCCAACCCCTAAACCCCTAAACCCTAAACCCTAAACCCCTAAACCCCTAAACCCCTAAACCCCTAAACCCCCAAACCCCCAAACCCATAATCAACTAAACCCCCAACTCCGTAGACCCCAAACCCTAAACCCTGCAACCCCTCAGCCCCTGCATCCCCCAAAACAAACCCTCAACAAAAAGACACCTTCGCCCCCTTCAAAACAGCCTAAACCCTAAACCCCAAACCCTTTAAACCAAAACTTACGCCCTCTTATACAAACCCTGAACCCTAAGCCCTTAAACCCGAAACCCTAAACCCAGAGCCCTTAAACCCTTGAACCCTAAACTCAAAAACTTATTTCAACCCTCATTGGGAACTTCAGAGGCCGCGAGGGGGTCTAGGGGTTGGTGGGGGTGGGGGGGGGTGGTTTTGAGGTTTGAGGTTTGGTTAGATTAGGGTTTAGGTTTTAGGGCTTAGGGTTTAGGGTTTAGCGTTGGGTTTCGGGGGCTGAGGGGTCGAGGATTTGCGTACCGGAGGAGAAGTTGCAACCTGTAACTGACAGCAGAAAGTGCAAGCCGAAACCCATCATGAACCCTAAACCCTAAACCCTGAACCCTGAAGCCAAACCCTAAACCCTAAACCCTAAACCCCAAACCCTAAACCCTAAACCCCCTAACCACTGAAGTTTAGGGTTTGGGGTTTAGGGAATTCTGTACATTTGGGCTCCGTTTAGGCTGTACCCTAAAACCCCTAAAACCCCTAAAGCCCAAACCCTAAACCCTAAACCCTAAACCCTGAACCCTGAACCCTGAACCCTAAACCCTGAACCCTGAACCTGAACCCTGAACCCTAACCCGACCCCTAAACCCGAAACCCGAAACCCGAAACCCGAAACCCTGAACCCTAAACCCCTCCGTCGCCTCAGAGATGCGATGCTGCGCCAGTTCTTGGTGGTGGCCAGGGCTTGAGGCTTTGGGTTTCGGGCCCTCAGGGCTTGGGTTGCAAACTTAGGCTCTTGAACACCCTAAATAAACCCTAAACCCCAAACCCTGAACCCTGGATGCTAAATCCTAAACCCTGAAACCCTGAACCCACCACCCCCCCCCCCCCCCAGTTTTTAGCCTTGAGGAACCCTAAAACCTAAAGCTGCGCGAATCCTTCCTCCAGCTTTCTGGCCAAGGAGCGCTCAATCTTGGACTCGAGATCCCCAAGCTCCTGGGATTGAGTTTATTGGCCCACGGCCCAAAGAGGCTTGTAGCGCTTATCGGCTTATGGGGCTTCTAGGGCTTATAGGGCTTACAGAGGTTACAGGGCTTGTAGGGCTTATAGGGCTTATAGGGCTTATAGGGCTTGTAGGGTTCATAGGGCTTATAGGGTGAGGGTTTAGGGTTTAGGGCTTGGGTTTTTAGGGTTTAGGGTTTAGTGTTCGGGCGTATCGTGCTTATAGGGTTTACAAGGCTATTAAGGCTTGAAGGCTTTCGGTTTCGGGGGTTTTGCAATTCAAGGTTGGGTTTAGGGTAGGGTTTAGGGTTTAGGGTTTAGGGTTTTCTGTTTAGGGTTTAGGGTTTAGGGTTTAGGGTTTAGGGTTTAGGGTTTAGGGTTTAGGGTTTAGGGTTTAGGGTTTAAGGTTTAGGGTTTAGGGTTCACAGTCCTTCTCCGCCTTCTGACTCAGCCGCTGCATGAGGTAGTCTGCGGTCTGGCCTCGAGCTGCTTTGAAGGTCCATGGGCCTTCGGGTTTAGGGTTTAGGGTTTAGGGTTTAGGGTTTAAGGTTTAGGGTTTAGGGTTTAGGGTTTGGGATTTAGGGTTTAGGGTTGAGGGTTTTGGGTTGAGGGCTCAGGGTTTAAGAGCTGTGCAAACTGGTTTTTAACTGGGGCTGGAGTCCAAGCTACACGTTTGAAGATAACTTCAGTCGTACCAATCATGCAACCGATCAGAACCAAGTAAGTGGGTCCCATAGGACGTCGGTTTTGTACTCTAGTATTCTGTATTCTGACAAGGCCACCACATACTTACACACACTAATATCTGTAAGAAGCCGTGTACATATATATACACACACAACTAGAACAGCAATATCACCCCTACCTCAATACAACCTTCAGGCAGCAACAAAGGTCTGGGTGCACTTGTGGGGCATATCCCCAATCCTAAGCTGTTTAGGGTTTCGCGGTGAGGCACCTAAACCCTAAAACCATTAGGGTCTGAGAGTTTTCTTGGGCGGTCCGAGCGATTATAGGGTTTAGGGTTCAGGGTTTAGGGCTTAGGGCAGGGTTTACGGTACAGGGCTGAGGGCTTCGGGCTTAGGGCTTGGGCCATGTTGTGTGTGCTGCACAATACCCTGAACGAAACACCCAAACCCAAAAACCCCCCCATAAATCCTACAACCCC